ACACTGGGTAACGAGTCCCAGTAGACATATGGGGGATACCAGCTACAGTCCGGGCACACGCTCAGCTGCGGGTGCACCCCTACAAGGCGACCCCTCCCCTCCCCTCCCCTCCCCACCCATCTTGGAGAGGTCAGGTGGTGGCCCCTGGAGGCACCAGTGTTAAGGGGCCTTTGTGCCGATGGTGGACTGGGCTCTGTTAGGGTCCTTGCGCTCACATCAGCAGGTGAGGACACGCATAATGTGTTTGTGTGCGTTTCCCTCGAGATTGTGATGTTCCTAAGAGGGCTGAGCTGTGCACAGAGCCTCAGGGCCCAGCTCCCTGGCTGGGGTGTGGACAGAAAAGGGCCTTTGGTTCCAGGGCTTCCTCAGGGTTCTCAGGGAGACATTTATCTCGGGGATGAGGGAGTTCAGTGAACGTCTTTGCGGGAGCTGCTCATGAAAGCTCCAGAACAGAAAACATGGGTGCCCTCGCTCTTTGAGCACTGGCCTGCTGACCCGACCCCATTCCCCAGGGCCCGCTCTCTTTGGCGTCTGTGGAGAGAGTTGTGGTTCTTCCTGCGGAGCGCGCGGCCATGTGGTCAACTTCACGAACGCACAGGCACCTTGCAGATGCGATTCTAAAACAGCCTGGAAGGGGGGCCTGGTGCTGAAGCACCCCGTTGCTCCTTCCTCCCCACGTGGGGCACACAGGGCTCTTTCCCCACAACCCAGGAGCTTTCTGTTGAGGGAAATTCCAAAGGATTTTACAATAATTATTTTTTTATTCTAAAAGAAAAAAATAATTTCATCTTTATTTTTATGAAAGTGATAAACAGCTTTCAGGGGGTCAAGTAAAACTTTAAAAACCCACCTACCCCACCTTTCTTGAGTCTCGGCATTTCTGGAAGTCTGGGGGCCACCTGTCTGGGACCACGCCTCCCTGTGGGGCGCCCCCTCTTGGGGGCTCTCCTCCATAGTTTCCCCATAAGGGTGCCAGGAGCAAGGGCTGTGCATCACCCACACCCGAGCGAGGGTTTGCCTGGTGCTGTTTTCCCTGGTCCCCCCCCTCCCCGAAAACTAAGATGCTGGGGTTCTGTGCACCCAGCGCACAGTTGCCTGAGAGTTTATGGCTCGTGACAGGCTTAACTGCAAACCAACCGTCCCCGCTGCTAAAGCTGCTCTTGCCCTCTCTTCCCCAGGGACGCAGAGCTCCCGCTCGTGAGAGTCCAGCGGAACCGCCTGTGTGACCTCCTTGGTGTGCCCAGACCTCAGCTGGTCCCCAAGGTAACCGCACGGCCCTTGGCCCTGTGAGACCCGGGGGCCCTTCCCACACGAGCCACCATTCTGAGCTCGAGTCTGGAACGTTCTGGGTTGTACTGACCGGCTGGTGTTTCCCCACCCTGCCGGACCCTCGTGTGCTTTGCCAGCTCCTCCTCATAGGCTCCTGCCTGCCTTGTCCCCACCAGGCACGTGTCAGGTGTGTCCTGTGGGCACGACATCCAGGACAGGCCCTCTGCCTGGCAGGTGGCCGTCCTGTGCTGCCAGCCCTCAGTGGAGTTGGCAGTGACCGAGCTCGCTCCTCTCACATGAGGTCCTCGGTGCTGCTGTCTGGTTTCCACCATCACCACCCCCCCCCAGACACTTGTCCTGTCTGGGGACTTTGTCACCCCCAGAGTCTCTGGGGCTGCCCAGTGAGGTGTCAGTCTTTTCCACGGTGTTGGTGTGTGCACAGTAGATGCAGTTTTCTGAGCTCGCAGGGCCCCAAGCTGTCCTTCCAGGTTCTGCGTGGCTGTTGGGAGATTGTAGGCTCTTGCGTGTGTGCTTTGCAGGGGATCAGGGTGGACTCAGGCTGTGGTGGAGCTCAAGTGTAGGGCACACCCGCATGTTCCGTGAATGCTGGGCTCAGAGGCGGTTCCTCGGCCCCACGGCGCTCCTGATCCTGCCTCGCTGGCCGTATTCCCCTGGACCTGGGTTGGACCCTGACTGCTTCTGAGCTTTTACCGAGCAAGAACATCCATGCAGAAGTGAGCCTTGTCCAGCTTTGTGCACACGAGGGACGAGCACCTGGCTCAAGGGTGGAGCCTCCTGGGCTGGCTGCTGGCGGCACGGGCTGCTGCTGGGCTGGAGGGTTGCTGCCTCAGGTGCTGGCGGGCAGGTTCCAGAACGTGCTTGCGTTGCATGTGCTGTGCGTTGTTGTGGTTGTTGGCGTGTGCGTCCCCTTCTGTGCTTTTTCTGGGCTGTCTGATGCATATGGGCTCTGGACTTGCATCTGCAGGATCTCCCCCTCTGGGGGCAGCTTTCTCATCCCTAGGTTTCATAGGTTCCAACTTAGCCTTTCTTCCCTATTGTTTCATGGGCCTGTTTAAGGTCTTTACCGATTCTAAGGTTGTGTCTCCTCGGTGTGTCTTAAAGCTTTATTGTTTCGCCTCCTACATTTAGATTTGAGGCCACTCTGGACTGGCGTTTGCATGTGGTGCTGGGGAAAGGCCAGCAGGTGTGTCTTCCGTGCGCAGTCCATGCACCTCCATTCTGGCCAGTGTCACCGTGGCTAAAGTTGGGCCACACGTGGGGCTCTCCTCTGGGGTCCTCTGTCCTCCATGACCTCTGTCTGTAAGCCGGACACAGGAGGGTCTCGTGGGATGTTGTCGTGCTCACGTGAGTCCGTCTCCAGTTTTATTTTTCTAAGACCATCTTGACTCTTGGCTCTTAGGGTTTCAGAAACCTCTGCAGAACAGTCTCATCAGTTTGCACCACGGAACCAGCCAGGCATTCGGCTGAGGGTGGCTTGGAGCCTGTGGGTCCACCTGGCAAGGACAGATGTCTGTGATGCTGAGGCTTGCAGCCTTGAGCACACAGGAGCGCCTTGTGCTTTATGGATTTTGGAGAAGGGATGCCACACTGTTCTGTAGCTGTCCCACAGCTCCTGGAATTCTATTCGTTTTTCCATTCTTTTCTCTCTTGGCATTTCAATTTGGGAAGTTTCTGTTGACCAGTCTTCAGGTTGATGGATTCTCTCCCTGACGACGTCTAGTCTTCATTTCTGTTACTGTGTGTCTGATTTCTGGCATTTCCTTTGATTCTTTCTTAGACTTTCCACTTCTGCTTTCACTGCCCGTCTGTCCTTGGTGGCAGAGCTCCTGGCACATTAATGATAGTTGTTTTACACCCCATCTGGTCATTCCAACTCTGCACGTCTAAGTCTGGTTTTGATCTTGGTACCATCTTCCCCAACTGCTTTTTCTTGCCTCTTAGCACGTTTTGTAAGTTTTTCTTGAAAGCCAGACACGTTGTGCCGGTAACAGGAACTGAGGCAAGTGGGGCTCAGGTCTGTGAAGGTCTGTCTGTCCGGCAGGGGCCCCTGTGTGTTTGGTACTGCGGCAGCCTCTAGACCTTTGAACTTCCCCAGCACGTTGCGTCCCTGCACTGTCCCCCTCCGAGGATTGGTGTCTAGGTGCTCTGTGAGAGCGGACCCATGGCTGAGACCCTGGAGTCCTGCAGGAGAGGTGGCAGGATGTGGGGCAGTTTGCAGTCATCTGAGCAAACCTCAGCCTTGGTGGGCTCCCCGCCGTCCCCCTGCAGGTACCATGGGCTCAGGTCTGTCCCCCGGAGAGGAGACCCTCGTGCTGGAGACGCCCGGGTGCGACTCACAGCAGTCACCTGCCAGAGTGCAGGGGGCTTTCCAGGTTTATGACCAGGTTTATGACCAGGTGAACCTGCGGGCTCCCCCCAAGATGGCACCCCCAGAGTCTTGCCCTCCTGCTAGCTCACACCGCCTCCGGCAGCTTGTCGAGTCGGCACTTAGGCGTGCCTTCCGCTCTGTGGTGAGCTCCAGCAGCCTCTGCTCCAGGCAAAGTCTGCATTTGTCCAGTACAGCGTTGGGGGGGTTCCACGGATGAGGCTGTGAACATGCAGCTGTTGCCCGAATGCCCTCAGGCTTCCCAAACCTGCCTGCCCGCTCCTCGTTCTGACGTCTCGGCATTGCGGTACATTGCAAGCGACCTTGCAGTCACTTGGAAATACTCTGCCTGTAAGAATGCTCTGTGCCCTCAGGTCTGCTTTGTCTGATGGTAATGCGGCCACACTGGATTTTTGGTTGTCGTTGACACGTTTTCCTCTGTGTTTTCTTACATTTAGGCAGATCGCTTGTAAATGATAATTAGGTCTTAATCTGTTTTTAATCTACTTCAGTTATCTCAACTCGTTGGAGTATTTTGTGTCCTTCTATGTAACGTGTGATTACGATTCAGTTGGGTTGATGGCTGCCATCCTTGATTCTTGTCTGATCTCACCGTTTTCCTGCCGGTCTGCCAGTGAGGACCGTGGGAGCCCGGCGGTGTGAAGGGAGGGTGGCACCAGCCGCCGTCCCAGCACGTGACCCCCTGCCAGCCTGCCGAGCAGCCTCTTTCCTGTGTCCTGTCAGCTTTTCAGTCTTTCATCCTCTGGGCACCTGGAATCACGCTGTTATTTCTGGGATGGTTTTCCTGCTCCCTCTGGTGCCACGTGGTGCCTGTCTTCTCTCAGGCCCCCCGTTGGCACCGTGAGGGGTGGGGACGGCAGGCCAAGCACAACATTGGCTTTCCAACTAAATGTGCCATTTATGCTTTTATCAGGAAAATCTGACACACAGGTAGATGAAAACGGGGGGCAGAGTACCGGGGATCTCCCCACTGCTACCCAGGTCGTGTCGGCCACGGGGCTCGGGGGGGGGCGGTACTGACCTTGTGCTGTGTCCCCCACAGCCTGGCACCCGCTGAGGCCCCCTGCTCACCCAGCAGAGGGGAGGAGCCCGATGATGGTCAGCACGAGACACCTGGACACGGCGCTGAGGGACCTGGAGATCGTCACCACAGCAGTGGCTGTTCCTCACACGTGTCCTGGGGTGTTGGTGCTTTTGTCTTCATGTCCCTGGGAACCCCCATCTATAAAATCATGTCCTAAGCAGTTCTGTGTCTCTGTGTCTGACACTGATGGGGGGGGTGCAGGGGGTGGCCCCGGGTGGCCAGGCCCAGGTGCCAAGTTCCTCCTCTCCCGTCCCCTTCTCCGTTGTCATGCCCAGTGCACGTGGGCATTGCATGTGGTTACCAACCGCTCGCAGTTTTGTGTAACCAAAGAATCCTGCCTGAGATGGGCTGTAACCCCACAGGAGAGGCTCGGGGTAGCTAGTTAGGAACCTGACAGAGAGGTAGGTGTGTGGCTACACCAGCATCTGCCATGGGCGGACAACCCGCCAAAGTGTACTTCTAGGATACCGGGTTCTCTGGTGCCATGTGGGGAAGTTCCCCAGTTGATTCCTTTGTTCCTGAAAAAGTGCCTCTTTCTAATTGCCCAGAGCAGACCTAACCTAAAGGCCAGTGAGGCTGATGTGCACGAAGGTTCACCACCTCAGGGCTCACATGGCCACGCCTTGTACGCTGTCTCATGCTGGCCTGGACGTGGCATCACGGGTGCTGCCACCCACATCTGAGGCGAAGGTGGTGGCTGTGCTGTGGTCGGGGCCATGAACCGAGGACGGACAGTGTCTGGGCTGGGGAATGAGCTGCCCCCACGGGTGTGTGTGGCAGTGGGGGCCGAGGGAGCCGATGGGTCCTGGCAGACCCTGGTTGCTGCTTCCTTCACAGGGAGTGGTTTTCTTGCCTGGGCTAAGCTGCTGACTTGTGGGAGCGTTTACCTTCCGTGGGCTACACCTCTCAGACCCCCCTGAAAAAGAAAGTCTGGTGTTAACTTTGTGGATTAACTTGTATTTTATTCAAACCTTAAAACATGCTTGCCTCTCAAAAATAAGTAGGCAGCTCTCCATTTTAGATGGAAGACTAGTCAGAGATCCCTCAGCTGGTGGGGGTCACACACCAGGGTCCCAGAGGACTGAGGGGGGGATGGTACCCGCAGAGCAGTGTCTGGACCTCAGCTACAGAAAGCCAAGCAAGCCGCTTCTGAGAAGCAATACAATGAACTGTTTTTAGTGTCTTTTAAAAAATCCACAAGATTCAGGTGTGCCTAGGTGGCTCAGTTGTTGGGCATCTGCCTTCGGCTCAGGTTGTGATCCCAGGGTCCTGGGATCGAGCCCCGCGTTGGGCTCCCTGCTCAGCGGGAAGCCTGCTTCTCCCTCTCCCACTCCCCCTGCCTGTGTTCCCTCTCTCGCTCTGTCAAATAAATAAAGAAAATCTTAAATAAATACTAAAAATCCACAAGACTCCAAAGAGAAGCCCTTTTGGAAACCTGGAGCTGGGCGAGCTCACCACAGACCCAACACTGTACTGCACAGCTGTCCCTCGCCACCACTGGCCAGATTGCAGCCCGAGTGAAACCACCTGACCCGCTGGCTGCACATGGCCCCGCGCCTCTGCTCGCCCTCAGCCACGTCAGCTCCTGTTGGTCACTCTCGCTCTGACCAGGTCGCAGCTGCAGTTTCCGGAGGGCCCCCAGGCCCAGGTGGTAGATCTAGGAGAGAGGAGCCCCACACACTCACAGCTTAGAGTGTAGCCAGAAGCAGACCTGTTAGCACAACCAGTGCCCGGGAGCAGCATGCAGTGGGCAGCGTGTGGGGCTGCCGTGGAGGAGCCGTGCACCTTGTGGCTCCAGAAAGAAAAGAGCTTGGTGAGTTTGAGGAGGAGCAAGAAGCCAGGGTGCCTGGAACAGAAAGTGCACGGGGAGCTGGGAGGGGCCACGTGCACACACAGCCACATGCCAGACACAAAACCGAACCTCCCCGTGAGCAGGCACTGGGTCCTGAGCATCCGTGTCTGTCAAGCCTGAGACACGGAGGGAAGTCTCATTTCAGTGGCAGTGTGGGGGTAGGACAGAAGACCCACGTGGAGCTGGGACCCCGGGTGGCTGCACCCTCAGCAGTAGCACGGATGAAAATGAGGGGACAGCACCCCGTCACCGTCTCCCCTGGAGCTGGGTGGGAGAAGGAGTCTCCTGGAGGTCCGCCTGGAGGAACCTGTGCAGTTCTCAAAACTAACCCGGAAAATGTGCTCAAACTGCCGCCCCAACCAGTGGTGCTCCCAGGGAGTGGGCAGAAGAGGCAGAAACCTCTCTGGAAGTGTGCAGGCTCATCTCTCTGCACAGAATGGAAAGAACCCAAACCCACGCTCCAGAAAGGTCACAAAATACACAAACGGAATCACTAGCAAGACAATGGAAGCAGACACCAAAAGACTGAGATGTTGGTAATATCAGCCACAAATTTGTTTTAGAAAGTGCTATAGAGTATTAAGAGATTGGGGGGGAAAAGCTCCCTGAATGGATTTAAACAACCAACTAGACACAGCTGAAGAAATTATCCGGAAAAATAGAAGAGACCGCAGAAAGAATTTGGTGTGTACAGAGAGTCACGGGGCTCGTTCCCAGATGCTGGAGCCCACAGACCCCTCGCAGGGGTAGGAGCACACCCCACACACGCGGCTGCAGCGCTGCCCAGCCCCTAACCGCAGGGGCCTCCCGCTGTGCGAGGGAAAGGAACGGTCCCCGTGGCAGAACCGCGAACGTGGGAAAACCATCACCGAAGAAAGAGTCACATCCAGATGACACAGGCCTCGAATGCATAGCTAGGTTTTTAGCCTTAGCACTGCTGGCACTTGGGGCTGAATAATTCTGGGTTTTTTTGGAGGGGGAGGGGCAGAGGGAGAGAGAATCTCAAGTAGACTCCATGCTGAGCACGGAGCCCGATGTGGGGCTCAATTTCACCATCCAGAGATCATGACCTGAGCTGAAGCCAAGAGTCGGGACGTTCAACCGACGGTACCGCTTAGGCGCCGCTGGACTGAACTAGTCTTCAGCAACATCCCAGATGCTAGTAGCAAAGCCTCTTCCACACTCGCACAACAAAACTACCGCCAGATGTTGCTAGATTTTTGGGGCCGGGTTCAGCCCTACTGGGAGACACTGCTCTGGTGAATGAAGTGTGGGTGGGAAATGGTCCTGGCTGAGCAGCTCCAGTGCAGGGGGGGGTATGCTGAGCAAACAGGAGCAAGTAGCAGGTACACAGGATGAACAGTGTTTAAAGCAAGCAGGATCTGAAAAACGGACAAGAGTGGCAGGAAGTATTCAGTATAAAAACAAAGGTGCTTGTGAGAGACGCTGAGTGCTGAAGCAGGATGCCGGGTCCTCCTGCCTCGGAGCAGCTCCTCCTGCACTTTTACTTGGAACGCAGACCTGGCTTCTCATTCTGACTCCCGCGAGCCCCACCATGAGGCCGCTCTGGGTTGCTGGAGCCCACTCGGGATCCTTGCCTTGTTCGTTCGAGCCCTTACCACAGGGTTCCTGCCAGCACCGTCACCCCTGCATCCGGAACAAGTCCCTAATGACACAGTATCAGTGGTCTTGTTGTTTGGGTCCCGAGACAGGCAAAGGGGAGCTGGCTCCATGTCACCCGTGGTTGCTCACGGCTGATGGCGTTTGCTCTTGGCCGGGTTGAGCACTGGGGTTCCCAGGCCTGGGAGACTCAAGGTGCCAGAACGCCCACAAACACGACACCCTGCCCACAGCCCTCAGCGGCCAGTTCAGGAAGGCAAGCAGTAACCCTGTAGCCAGCGGTCCGAAACAGCCAGGACACTGTCGGTAACTGCCGGCTTCCCTGACTCACCCCTCCCGCAACTGGGGACCCACCAGAGGGGACCAGACATGTTCCCCTGACCAACCGTGAGAACGGCACTGGGCCACCGGAGCCCCCTTTCCCACGCCCTCAAGCTTCTGCCATCCTCATGGGACCAGCTGATGCCTGTCCTGCCAGCTCAGAGCACACAGCCTCTGTTCTCAGTCGCCGGTCTGTATTTCCACATCATGAACCAAGTCAGACCCAGAAACTGGGCCCCGGGTTTGCCCAACATCGACAGAATCAAACGTCCACCACGGCGGGACCTGAGCACCCAGCAGCTGTTGTCCTCGTGGCAGAGGTGTCTGTCAGGAGCGTGAGCTAACGACCTCCTGGCGCGAGAGACGCCACGTGCTGGGCAGTGGTGGTGCCCCCAGGGGCAGGGAAGTGTACGCGCTGCACACACGGTCAGGGACACACGCCCCTCAGGCTGTGGGCTCACAGCTCTGCCTTTTGCTGCATGTAAACCATGTCCTGGTTAAAAACACACTCACACACATGCCCTGCAGGTGAAGGGCCAGCCCCATAAGGAAGGGGGTTTGCTGGGCATCTGGTACACCTCCCACCTCGCATGTTCCCCCTCAGGGCCATGAGCCACCCCTCCTTAGCACCCTCAATCCCACGTACCTGGGGGCAGCTGCCCTGGGCCCGTCAGCTGAAGTGAAGGAAGTCCCGGCCTTCCTGCAGGTGCAGTGACCTCAGGTTGTTTTCAAATGCACCCCCGGTGAGGTCCTGTGGGAGGAACAGCATGTCTGGCTTGATCCAAGCCTCCCCCAGCCCGCCCTGGGACCCCCAGAGGCCCTCCCAAGGGGGCCTGGGGTGGAGTCGCCTGTGGCTACCTGTCAGGTGGTCCACAATGAACTTCTCTGTTGAGAGGGGCTGGAGATGGGGGGCGGGTGGGGACCCTGTGAGAAGTGGGCCACAATGTCCTGCTGGGCATCAATGGAAGGGAGGGAGGGAGGGGTGGGGAGGTCCCCTGAGGCATACACACCCCCCAGCTCAAGCTTGGTGCCTCCCTGCAAAAGGTAGCTGACGGACTAAGGGAAGGAAATGAGCCCCACGGGCAGCTCTGCTTCACCCATCTGTCCTGGGCACACCAGCTTTGCTCTTTGTGCCTCGTCCTGGGGCCCCCATGACACCCCTGCCTCCCTTTGCAGGGGCCTGGACCCAGACTCGAAGTGTCAACAGACCCCTTCCTGCCCCTCGCTTATAGGCATGGGGACACGCCGCAGGGGGACACGCCGCAGGGGGACACGCCGCACGGGGACACGCCGCAGGGGGACACGCCGCACGGGGACACGCCGCAGGGGGACACGCCGCAGGGGGACACGCCGCACGGGGACACGCCGCAGGGGGACACGCCGCAGGGGGACACGCTGCAGGGGGACACGCCACACAGGGACACGATGAATGCTTCCTGCTCAATTAAAAGACGACAGCAGAGTCAGATGACACCAGTGGGTTTATATGGAATAATGGACAAAATGTATTATGTAAAAAAAAAAAAAGCAAAATACAGAAAAGATACGTATACTATGCTGCCATTGGTTTAAAAAACCATGCAAACACTTATGTTTGTGCCTCTAGGCACCTCTCCGAGGATACAGTGGGTGACGGGAAAGGAAGCTCACTTCCCACCCAAAGCCTGCCCTCCAGGAAGGGTTTGCACTGGGGGCAGGGCTTCTAGTTCCCGGCAGTTTTTGGTCCCAGAGAAATAGACCCTTAACTGAGCTCCTCTCCTCTGATAAATTATGTATAATTTGTACAGAACTTAAATTTTCATTTTAAATTAAATTTTCCATGTGGCCTCCTAGTTATTGTCCAGTTTCCCTGGGAACTTGGAACCGTGCTTATCTTGGCCTTAAACAGGCTTGTTCCTTTTAGGAAACTGCTTTCATGCTAGAAAACCCAGTCAGGTGGGCACATGCTGCAGAGAGGTAGACAGGTGGGTCCGTGTCACCCCCTCCCCTGGAGTGCAGATGGGACTGGCCACTGCACACAGCCAAGGAAGGGGTGGGAGGCCACTTGCGTGAATTGGTGACACATCATCATGTCTTCTGTCTCGCTAGCAGACCCTGCCCCTTGCCGGCTTCGAGAGAATATGCTGCCACGTAGTGGGGGCCACATGGCGAGGAACATCCAGGGAAGCACTAAGACCCTTGGTCCAAAACCCTAAGGGTCCGGCTTCGGCCAACTGCCATGACAACACGGAGGCAGACCCTGCTCAAGGCGAGCCTCCCCATGCAACTGCGTCATGGCTAAGCACCTCACCAGCAGCTTCATGAGGGGCCCTGAGGCCTCGCCTGTGGCGTCTGGATTGCTGAACCACAGCAACTGCGAGGTAAGAAATGGTGGCCTGCCTGGGTGGCTCAGTCGGTTAAGAGTCCTCTTGGTTTCGGCTCAGGCCATGATCTCAGGGTCATGAGACTGAGCCGCGTGTAGGGCTCCCTGCTCAGCGGGGAGCCTGAGATTCTCTCCCCCTGCCCCCACCATGTGTGCGCTCTCTAAATTTAAAAACCTAAAAAAGTGTGTATTGTATGAGGCTAGCTCATGGTAATTTATTATGTGATGGTTCAAGCAGAACACAACTTCAGGGTGACGTCACCCAAGTTAAAACCAGATAAATTGGACTTAATCAAAATTAAGTACTTTTGTACGTCAAAGGACCCCATCAAGAAAGTAAAAAGAGAACATGCAGAACGGGAGGTGTTTGTACCGCGTCTAGAACATACAAAGAACTGTTATGGCTTCATAAGACAAAACCCAGATAAAAGGGCAAAGAACCTGCACAGACATTTCTCCAAAGACGATACCCACACGGCCAACAAGCAGATGAAAGGACCCCTGCATCGCTGGGTGTTAGGGAAACGCAACATCATCACCTCGAGTGACTACGCGTGGAGACGCTGGTGCCCTCGTGCGGCGGGTGGGAGCGTAAAATGGTGCAACCATTGTGGAAAACTGGCGGTTCCCAAAATGTGGTTACCCTGTGACCCCGCACGTCCTCTCCCAGGCACACGTTCACACGGAGCTACACATGAACGCTCCAGGCTGCACTGCTCTAACTGCCCAGCGGGCTTGTTCTTTGCTGACAGTTTCGCCACCTTGGCCTTAGAAGTTGGTCACCTGCTGCTGTGGAATGAACCCCCACCAGCTGAGCAGCCTGCGACGACACTCTCCCCGTTCCATGGGGCTGGATCGCGGGCCCGGCCCTGGCCCAGGGGCCCCGAATGAGTCTGCCTCACGGCCAGCCCGGACAGCCTGTGCTCACCCCTGCTCTCCCACAGTTGGGGGGCTTCCCCAAAGTGGCCCCATAGCAAAGGGCAGAGTCCAGCCTCTCGAAGCTGCGCCTCCTGCCCCGCCTGGGGCCCTTCTCGGGCCACTGCCCCTGCCCAACCAATGTCCGCGTTCTGGGGTCAGAGCCTGGCGGGGTCGCCCTCTGTGGGGGCACTGTCCTGCCTGGCCCCCTGCACAGACACGGTGGGCAGCTCAGTAAAGTCCAGTCAGTGCCAAAGAGGTTGGGGTCTTAACCAGCCACCAATGAAGAGGGATGCTCCCCTCCCTGCCTCCCTTCACAGGTTTGTTCTAGTCCTGCTGCGTGCAGCCCTACGTCCCTGAGCCCAAGGCTGGACACAGTGGCGGGCAGGCGTGTCCTGCGGTCTCCTCCCTGATGGTGACAGACTGCCTCCCTGCTGCAAAAGCTGCCGCCTCCATGAAGGCTTCCGGTGTCTGGTGACTGAGGTTCCAGCCCAATCTCACGGTTGGAAGCTGGTGAAGTGGCCGCGTGTGTCTCCACCTGCGTGTTTCCCCCACAGCCCCCAGCAGCAAGCACAGGGCCCTTGCCACCCGTCGGCCACCATCCCCTCTGGGGGACCCACTGGGGCAGGGCTGAGCCAAACTGGCCCCCGCAGTTGGGACCCCAAAGTAAAAGAAGACACTTTACATTTGTAGGAGTGTGTATACACGAGAATGTCTTTCTGACCATGAAGAATGATTTCCTAAACAGGACACTAAAAGTGTTCGTTGTAAGGAAAAGGTTGATGAATGCCGCTGCATTGAAAGTAACTTTATCTGGGGCGCCTGGGGGGCTCAGGCGTTAAGCACCTGCCTTCAGCTCAGGTCATGGTCCCAGGGTCCTGGGATCGAGTCCCGCATCGGGCTCCCTGCTCAGCGGGAAGCCTGCTTCTCCCTCTGCCCCTCCCCCTGCTTGTGCTCACTCTCTCTCTCAAATAAATCAATCTTAAAAAAAACTTTTTCTGGAAGAACCTGTGAAAAAGCAAGTCTCATGTGGGAAAAAATATTTGCCACTCCAACCGAGGAACAACTGGCACCAGAGTGTGCAGAGCTCCTGGAAATTACAAGGCCAGAGGTGCCCAAGGGCACCACCCATCTGAGCCCTTGTCCAGCGGGACAGGCTGGGACGAGCCCTCGCGTGGCCTCACGAGGACGTGTGTGTGGAGGGCACCTTCCGAGACCCTTCACATCTGCTCCAAAGTCACAGGAACGTCACAGCCGTGCCCCGTCGCCAGGCCGGAAATGAGGAATTCAGTCATCTGGGCACACAGGCCAGCCTGACACGGGCAAAGCAGACCAGCCTTGTGCCCCAGGCCTCGTGCCGTGTGACCCCAATGGGAAGCTGAGAAGCGGGTGCAGCACAGCCCGGCACCCATGCCCCTGTGACCTCAAGGGAAAAGGCAAGGATATGGGGGGAAAGTCTCTGGACGGCCCTGGGGGCGGAGGCTGTGGTGCTTGGTCAGAGGTGCTTCTCTGCGACGCTTTTACTGCCCACAGCCCCTCGTCTCTGCCGGAGCATCTGATGAGCCCCCAGAATGTGCCCCAGGTTTGGCACTTAGCAAGTTTCCAAAAAATGTTGCTCTTACAGAAATGCAGCCCATTTTTTGAGGGCACCATGGTGGCTTCTTCTAACACCTGGGCAGCCTCCCGCCGTAGTGTGCAGCTCAAGACAGGTGGCCCAAACCAAGGGTATGGATGTCTGGCTGCATGTCAGACGTCCGCGATCCCACAATTAGGGGCCTGTACCAGCCACACGGTTGTGTGACCCCTGCCACGGCCGTGGCTGACACTTACCAGCTTCACGCAGATGACGAAGGGTGGCCGGGCAGCTCGGAAGTGCAGGATTGGAACCCGAGGCTTAGGCCTTTCCTGAGAAACAGGAGGTGTTGTGGGCTGGGGTCCGTGCTAGTCTCACGGGACGCCCTGCCGTGCTGGGCCCGCACGTGCTGACAGGGCAGCTGGACCAGCCCCTTACCCCTGCCCAGCTCCAAGGTGCACGGCAGACACACAGACCTGGGCCAGGCGGGGACACAGGCCACTCTGGGGCCCGAGACCCCTAGGAGATGGGGGCCACTGCTTCTGGGCCTGGCAGCTGTCCAGGCACAGGCGGCCTTCCCAAGGAGCAAGGTTCTGGGCAGTGGCCCCTCTGTGTCCCCGGGGACAGAGCTAGGGGTGGTGTGAGCAACCCATGTGGGACCAAGGCCCTCCCGGGGTCCTGGGTCCCACACACCTGAGAGTCCTCGTGGCAATAGAAGCCCTTCCTGATCTTGTTCTCGTCCACGTCACAGAAGGCAACCACCTGGGGGCGGGGGCACAGGACACCAGCCTCAGGGACGGGGGACCCCGGGGGGCAGAGCTGCTGGGCGGGATGGAGGGGGGCCCACCTTGCGTCGTGTCCCAGCTGCCAGGCTGCGGTAAAGCCGGCGGCCCTGCCTGCCCGCGTTCCAGATGGTGAAAGCTGCCCAGTGCGGCAGGACCCGTTCTTCCAGGAAGCGGACACGGTGGGTCCAGATGGTGGTCCTGGGGGGGATGGGGCGGGTGAACCAGGTGGGCAGGGCCTCTAGCTGCGCCCAGACCTTCCTCCCCACCCAGCCCTGGGCACAGCAGGGCATGTTCTGGGGACCTCCTCTCTCCAGAGCTCAGGAGGCACTGGCTGGATAAATGAAGGAGGGACTGAACAAACGAACCTCGGCCGCACTGCCTCACCCACCCTCACAGCCCCACGTGGGCCCTAGGGTGTGCTGTCCTCACGTCCACGTACTCAGGGGCCTGGAGGGACGCCAGGCACAGACTCCGGGGAGCCTGAGGGGGATGCAGCCACCCCGATGTCAGGTGAGCTCAGGTGAGCCGTCTCACGGCTCCGCTTCCTGCAGAAGCTGCCCAGACCGCCAGGTGTTCTGACAGCTGGGCCGCGGGCGCACCGGGGCTGGCGGGCGAGTAGCTCCCCGATCCTGGCCATTAGCGCTTCCAGAGCATCCCACGAGCTCCAGACACTCCAGCCCATGGCCAGGCGCGCGCAGCTCTGGCAACACCCGAGAAGTGGAAGAAGTTTAAGGACAAAGGACCAGGGATCGTGCACGTGAGTTCTGGTAAATGGGAAATCCTGAGGACAAGGAAGGGACAGGGAGCTTCAGACAGTCACTGCTAACGGTTTTCGCCTTTCAAGCGGAGGACGTGCTTGGACAGCCTGTGTCAGGAAGCACTGTGTGGGGTGCGCCCCGGGGGATGTGTGCCACACGCAGCTCAGCAGCGGCGGCTTCTCCTGTCCCCAGCCCTGATGGAGTTCTGTCAGCACAGGGTCGTGCCACCTTTCGAGTAATTCCTTCTGTTTAAACAGTCCGTGCTCCTCGGTGTGAGGTGCAGACTGAAGGAAATGCCCGTCACAATGTCTCGAGGTGTCTGTGGACGAGACCAAGGGAAAGATGGGCCCCAGTCCAGACCCCAGGAGCTCAGGCGCCCGCTGGGGGGGTGCAGGGCCTGCTCTGAAGACACTGGTAGGTGATGAGCCGACATAATTTAGAAATGGCCACAAACACACCTGCTTTGTGGGCCGCGAAGCCCTTCCTGCTGCCGGTCCTGTTCCTGCTCAGGAATGCCATCTTTCCCGGTGCTTTTAAGTTCTGACCCAATCAGGAAGACTCCTCGATAGTCTGCTTACTTGCTGCAGGGCAGCAGTGTCTCCCCAGCAGGGGCTGTGGCGAGTGGAGCGGTTTCCCCAAGCCCACAGATGTGGGCCCTGTGCCCTGGTCCCCCGGCCCCCTGGTGGCCGTGGCCCCCGAGGCAGAATGGGGGGTGTGCCGGCCAGGCTGGAGTCAGCCCTGCTCCGCAAGCAGGACGGCAGAAAGGCCTTGGGAGGAGGTGGCCTGGAGACAGGTGGCACCCTGAGGTCACACATGAAGGGGCAACCGTGAGGCTGAACAGAAAAGCAGTTTTCGGGGAGAAAGGCAGAATGCTACCATGGACATAACGTTTTTAAACAGGTAATGCATATTGTTCAGGGAGACACCGCACACACCCCAGACGGCGCTGGCCTTGCTGAGGGGCTGGGAAAGGCAGCCGGGCGCAGGACTTCAGTCCTCGGTGTCTCTGTCTCTGGATGTCTTAAGTATTTTGTAATGAATGATGTAAATGCTGACCATTCTTGGTTTAAAACAGAAAGAACAACAACCAGGGAGTGCTTTCACAGGAGGGCTTCTGGGCAGAGAGTTTGAAGAAATTCAATTCTCAACAAGCCTGAAGGTATAATTAAAGCTCATTACTCTGTGAGGTTTTGCCACTCACAGCACAAAGATTTTAATCCAATACAGAAACTACATGAGATCACTTCTTTTGTGTTGTGGGTGGCAAAGCCTCACACTGCAAAAAAGAAAGAAACCGCTCAACATAAAAGAGACTGATCCCATGCAAACAAGATGCAGACTTGTGGGGACAAAGCCCAGTTGCCTGTGGCCTGGTCCTTCCTGGACACACAGGCTTCTGCCACAGCACGGGCCACCACCACTTCCTACAAAGAGATCCCTTCAATTTGTCTCCAAAGAATCTAACATGAGAACACACAGACAGGAACATTCATGATGATGATGACAGAGGAGATCCCCGAAGTCCCACACCTCACAGATCTAATTTCTCTCTGGTTCTATCAGCCAACACGGGTTCTAATTTTCTATGAGCGCACACTTGCTGGAATTCCTCTATGGACTAGTTGTCCTCACGAGCGGCAGAGACGAATCCCGCCTGTTGGAGTGCTTCGTGTGAGCGGAATCCCACAACATGCATGCCCGTGTGCCTTGCTTCTTTAGGAAGCAAACTGCTTTGGCATTCACCCCTCTCTCAATGCTGAGCAGCATTCCATCACAACCTCCATTCACTTGATGGACACTTGGGTGGCTCCCAGTTCTTGGCAATATTAATAGTGATACGTTGAATGTTTTCACTTCTCATGCATTAAACACCTAGACACGGAATTGCGAGGTCACGGGGGTATTAATTTAATAAAAAAGTGCCAGTTTTCCAGAGAGGGATGTACCATTTAAGTCCTGGGAACAGTGTGTGACCATTCTGTTAGATCCACACCCTTGCCACCATTTGGAATTGGCAGATATTAATTTTAGCCCTCCTGCTGGGTGTGTGGTGGGTTTATATTATTTGCATATTACATATTGTTTCGTGAAATGTGTTATGAAGTATTTGCCTATTTTTATGACATTGTCTTTGTTGTTGGGGTTCCTTACGTGCCTCTTCCTTGGTTCTCCTTCAGACACATGGATTGTGAATATCCCTTCAGTCTGCAGTGTGCCACTCATGTTCTTAATGGTGTCTTTTTATGAACAAATGTTTTTAATTTTGATAAAGTCCACTTTATCACTTTTTCAATGGTTAACAATTCTCACGTCCTTGCTGGTAAGTTTTTGCTGACCACAAAGTTGTGAAGGTGTTCCGTTTCCCTCCAGAAGCTTTCTATTCCAGTCGTTTCTAGGTTTGTATCAAAGACCCAACTAGAACGAGCGTTTCCAGATGGCACGTGGGTACCCAGTGGTTCCACTTGTTGAGAGTATCTTCCTTTTCCACTAAATGCCTTTGGAGACTGTTGAAAATCAACCTATCGTACAATTTTCAATGTATTTCTGGATTCTCCATTTCCCTGGTCTCTCTTGATGCTTTTGCTGTGTTTCCTGGGAACTGTGAGTCCTCAAAGTTTACTCTTTTCAAGGTTGTTGAGGCTATTCTGGGTCCTTTAATTTTCCACGTGAATTTAAGAATCAGGTTATCAATTTCTGCAAAGAAGTTCGGTCCACAGCTCAGTTTGGGGAGAACTGGTATCAAAGTCACCAAATCTTCCAACCCATGAAGGTGGCGTCCCTCACTCCCTGTTACGGGTTTTCTTTAATTTCCCTCTGCACTTTCTTGTAGTTTCCAGAGGACATACGCACCTTGTCACATTTACCCACAAGTATTTTATTTTTGACGCCATCATACGTTTCTTAACTGCTATTTTTAGTTGTTCATTGCAAGTGTGTAGATTGTGTGCTTTAGTGAAGTCCACAAATTTTGACATACCATTTTAATTTCATGTTAAATTTTTTTTATTTCCTTTGTGATTTTTTTCCCTTGGTTGCTTAATTTCCAAATATTTTAGATTTTTAAGATGTGTTAATGACTTCTAATTTAATTCTATGTGGTTATAAAACATACTTTGATGATTTTAATCATTTGAAATGTATTCAGAATTGTCTGTCTTGCACCTTAAAGGAATGTATTCTGCAGCTGAGTGTCATGTTCTGTAAATGCCGGTCAGGTCAAGGGGTTAATTCCAGTCCTCTGCACCTTGCAGAATCCCGCTGCTTCTCTCAGACACTGAGATGGGCTTGAAAACCTCCAACTGTAATTGTGGAGGTAATTTGTAATTTGTCTACTTCTGTCTGGTTTTGTTCACGCACTTGGAGGCTGATGAGATGTACACGCACACATCTGGGACTGCTTTGTCCTCCTGTGACGGGGCCTTTACCCCGTGGTGCAAATCACACTCGCACTGAGTCAGCTTCATGACAACAAACCCCAAACAATGATGCTCCATAAAGCTACTGTATAAAAGTTCAGATTTAACAGTAAATAACCAAAATCAAGTTCTTTGGCTGAAAGCTGGAAAACAAAGCAGCTGAATTTCAACACACATGCAAATGTCCAAGGACCTACTGAGTCAATCTGGGGACCCCCAATGACGTCGCACAAACCGGCACCCCGCCTCTCAGTGTAGGTGGACGTCAGACCTCCCCAAACAGAGGCTGCCCAGCTGAGAAGCCACAACCTCCTGAGGGGTCTCACGCCCTCCAGGGAAACACAGCCAACCCCACCTCCGGAAGATGAATGTGCACCCTTCCTTCCCGTTCCCAAAAGTGAGCAGTGTTACAACCGCAAGGCACCAAGGGGTCACACGTTTGTAATGGTAAGAAACACGCGACATGCACACAGTTCAAGCTGAAGAAATAAGAACACACCCCTGCCTCCGTGTTCCACACCTGCCGCCCCAGCCGTGCGCTCCAAGTGCACACCGGCTACTGGGGACCTGGGGGCTGGGCAAGTGGCAGAGGAGGGAGAGAGGGAGCGGGCAGGCCCCCTTGGTGGGGATGGAGAGGGCACACTGAGGCACCAGTAACCAAGTCAGATGCGCACCCGGCGTACCTCACAGCAGTGGAGAGCAAGACTTCAAAGGCACATCTGCATGTGAGGCCTACCTCGCTGTAGAAAAGCGAACAGACATACAGCCTTCATCCTGGGAATCCTGTCCACGGCCCTGAGACAGCTTCCCCCATGAAGGCCACAGGCTCTGCACACCCGCACCTGCCACGCTCCCAGATTTCCTGCCTTGTGGTAGAGACCTGACCCAGGTGACCTGTGTCTGCCCCACCGACCCGGCTCAGACCTCGGCAACTCTGCACTCTCCGTCCCGGACCTCGGCCAGCCCCACACCCTCGATCCTGGACCTGGACCCCTCATGCTCGATCTTGGCACCTCACTGGCCCCCAAACCGTGTCTGGAGCCTTGGGGCCTGCGTACTCGAGGACAGAGTGCGTGGCAGCGTCTGGGTGGTAGCGGTACAGGAGGAGGCTCTGGTCCACGCGGACGACCCCACCGCCCTTTCTGAGGTGGTTGTAGAAGAACAGCAGGTCCTCGGGCACACCCTGCAGGGCACAAAAGAACGTCAACCATTGCTGATGTTTCTGCCCACGACAGAAGACACACCTGTGTCCGATGCTTCCCGCGTGTGCATTAATTCAGGCAACTGGAGATGGGGTGTCACGCCCAGCCTCATGTGCGACATTCCAGCGAGCGACCCACGCACCCAGCCACCGAGCATGCAGACAAGGAGGTCATCTCAAGACAAGGAGGTGCTGGTGGTGAAAAGCAGGGGCTGACAGGGCAGACCAAGGCCGCCGGCATCACCCTCGCATACGCCTCCAACCTGAGAAATGGCCCTCCCCGCTGACGGGGCCTCTGCTCTGCAGGGATTCGAGAGCTTTCTCCTGGGTTTCCCTGGCTTGTGAGAACTCAGCCCCCACCCTCCTGCTAGCCAGTCGGGCGGCCAAGCTCAGCCTTGACAACGGAAGCTGGAAGCCAGACACCAGGTCTGCTCCCTTGACTTTCCTGAATTCAGAGGGAAAATCAGGTGAGCGGAGGGGTCTGGATCTTGCTCACCTTCCTGGCTGTCAACAGCACAGTACTACAGGTGTACCAGTAAGCAGAGCCCAGCGATGCTGGGGCCTGGTCACCCACGTCACCAGGAGACGTGGCCCCAGGCAAAGGCCGGTTTCCTGACTGTGCAGCTTGTCCCACCTCCGGGCCAGCTCGCAAGGGCCGCATTTGGTTTGGTTTAGCGCCAGTCCCACAGCTGAGCCGACTGCTTCCAGTAAAGCCCATGGCACTGAACTTTTGTCTCTCCAGGGCTCTGGGCTGCTGCCTGGTTTGCTTATCTCCTCAAGAAGAAGGTCGCACAGCTGGCCCAGCAGAGCCTGGCGGCCGGGCGCCCTCGGGAGATGGAGCCCCCAGGGGAGATGCCACCTTACCAGCTGCACTGGGCAAGCTCGTCCCCAGACTGGCCACCTGCACCAGGTCTCAGGAGGGTCGGCAGTACACCAGAACACCCTACTGGATGAACAGGAGGGCAGCTGCTGGACACTGCTGGAAAGGTGAGCCACAACTGGAAATCAACTGGACTGGGTACACTTCCTGACTCGGCTCCTGTTCCCAAAGCTGGCCCCGAAATGCTAGTTAGTGCCCACGTCTGTCCACCTGGCTTGCTCTGTAAAGCCACCACGGACCTGGGAGTCCTGGCCAAGGAATCTCAGACACGCTCGGTTTTATCGAGGGCAGACTCCGGGCCGGCGTCTGAAAGACCCCACATGCGCCCAGCAGACTGACAGAGCAGGCTCAAGGAAGCCGTGGGAGCAGACCCTGCGACATCCCACAGCGGTCTGGCTAATGGTGGGGAAAGTCAGGAACGCTCTTGTTCCCGACATGGGGGCGGACAAGTGCATCAGTGTGCGTGACTTGAAGGACTAGTTTCTACAAAGACTGATAATATGAAAGATGTATAGTAAAATGTTAAAAATCAAGTTTCACAACTGTTTCGAAAGTCTGTCCACAGTAAAATAAACACAAAGGAGCCACGCCTGAAGCTCAGATCCGCTGTGTGGTGATGGGGTCACAGGTGATTTGTATTTTTTTTCTAATTCTCTGCATTTTCAAAGGCACCTTTATTTTTACAAAAGATTTATTTGAGAGACAGAGTACATGGCGGGGAGCAGCAGAGGAGATGGAGAGGGAGAAGCAGGCTTCCCGCCGAGCAGGGAGCCCGATGCAGACTCGATCCCAGGACCCTGAGATCATGACCTGAGCCGAAGGCAGACGCTTAACTGACTGAGCCACCCGGGCGCCCCAAAGGTACCTTTAAAGAGCAAATTTTAACTCTGCACACTTTACAGCTTTAGGAAAAAGGTGCTCTTTCTTCTGATGACCCGGAAGAACTCACCCTCAGGGTTTCCTTATTTCTGGCAAGAAGTGAGAATTTAGTTGGAGGCAGCACTGGGGCACCACGGCTCCCGGCGAGGTGGGGGGGTCTGTTCCACTGGCCCTCTGCTCACGGTTCCTTGGTTTTCACTCCTTCCTGCCTGGTGAGCTCCCAGGCGGGCACGTGTTCACCAAGAGCTCAGGCTCCTCTGGCCAGCCAAAAACCCTGGACAGAGGCCGTGATGGCAGGGGTGACGCGGCCTGGGGAGCCAAGGAAGCTGGGGTAGCTGAGCCCATGGTGGTGGTGGTGGTGGTGGTGGGGTTCCTGGGTGCACTGAATGCTCCTGTGGGTGGGGATGTAGTGGGCAGGGCAGGTACACCTCTGAGACGTGTGTAAGGGACTGCGATCTCGTGGGACAGAAGGAAGCACAGAACGGGCTGCCAGCCCCCACGCACCCCAGAAAAACTACTGCACTTTGCTCCAGTGGCAGGAGGGGGTGGATCGCATGAACCCCTGAAAATGCAGGGATGCAGAAAGTCTTCATCTGGATGGAGCTGGTGTGAGACGAAAGCAGAAAACCAAATGCTCCCATAACACAGAAGACCCCAAACCATGAGACAGATCAAAACTGAACCCTCCCAGCACCTGAGAGCATGAGGGGAACCCCCCCAAGTCAGAAGGCCAGGATGCACAAAGGAGTCGTGGAGGGTGGGGCAGGTGGGTGCAGGCCCGGCTGGCCGAGGTGTGCTGCTCTCGGGCACATGGCCCTCTTGGCATCACACTGTGGTGATGTGGTGCCTGTGGATTCGCTAGAACCCATCAAACTGCACCTTTTCACAGATGAAACGGATGGTATATTAATTACACCTCAATAAACCTCCAAAATAACAGAGGGTGGATTGAATTAAAAAAAGAAACAGAAAGGGAGCACCTGGGTGGCTCAGTTGGTTTAACGTCTGACTCTTGATTTTGGCTCAGGTCATGATCTCAGGGTCGTGGGATCAAGTCCCGCGTCAGGCTCCCTGCTCAGCGGGGGTCTGCTTGTCCCTCTGCCTCTGCCCCTCCCCACATTCACACGTTCTCTCTCAAATAAATAAAATCTTAAAAAAATAAAGAGACAAATACAGAAATAACCACTAGAACAAAATATAAACCTTCAGTACCAAGAGGAATTTAAATAAGCCAAGAGTGGGTGACAGCTCCTGGCTCCAGTTGGCCGAGTAGCTGTCCCTGCAGCGGTGATGGCCGTGCCCAGTGTGGAGGCTGCGGGCTGGACAGCCTGAGCCGCACCGCGGGGCAGGGACAGAGCAGACAAACCAGGGCTGGAAGCCACAGGGGGCCCATACTTACCTGTCCGCCCTCGTCAAATGGGCCCACATGGGAAAACCATGCTCGAGAGCAGAACCAGGTGGGCATGATCACAGTTGGGCCATTGGAGGTAAAAACCTAGAAGCAATTGACACTAACATAATTATCAGGAAAGGACAGCTTGTCACAAACAACTTACAATTTATTTTCCATGAAGTAGAATTCAGAAAGTGACAGATGAATCTGCCCTTCTCTGTAGGAACAGGAGTTTGAGGGACTTTGCAGACAGATCCACAGTATCTGGTGCCCAAGGCCAACAGATGTGGGGGGAGAGGGGCCACGAGAAGCAGTGGCTCCACCTGGGTCCTGTTCCTGGGTGAATGCTCACTGACTGGGTTCAAGAAGGAGGCCCCCCTGCTTTTGACTGACGGTAAAGTTTCACATGAAAACAAAAACACGCAGCTCTTAATTCTGACACGAAAAAATTGAAGCAGCATAAAAAGTTAGCTTAGATGAAATGGATGGATTCCTCCAAAGACACAAACCATTGAAACTGAAGAAAAAACAGAAACTATGACTAGATCTATAACAAGGAATTGAAAGAGCAGTTTAAAAAAACCTACAACTTCCCACAAAGAAACGCCCCGGTCCAGAGGGCCTCACCAGTGAATTCTATCCAATGTTTAACGAATTCTTACCAATCCTTCACAAAGTCTTCCAAAAAAACGAGATGGCAGGGACACTTCCTGACTCATTCTGTGAGACCAGCACTACCGATACCAAAGCCAGTCGAAAATATCACAAAACTATACACCAAGATCCCTTATGAATATAGTTGCAAAAATCTTCAACAAAGAACTAGTGAACTGAGTCCATCATTATATAAAAAGGATTCTACACCACGACCAAGTGGGATTTATGCCAGGATTGCAAGGTTGGTTCAATGTATGAAAACACAGGTGATGTGATACACCATATTCATAGAACAGAGGATGAAACCACATAATCATCTCAATAGATGCAGAAAAAGCATTTGACAAAATCCAACACCTTTTCATGACAAAACCAGTCAACCTAGGAGTTTGCAAAGCTCCACAGCTGATATCATACTTAAAATGGTGTGACACTAAATGCTTTTCTCCTAAGATCAGGAATAAAACATGAATATATGTTCTGACCACTTCTATTCAACATTGTGCTGCAAGTTCTACTCAGAACAATTGGGAAATAAGAAAAATAAAAGGCATTTTATAATACTTGGGAAATGAAGAAGTAAAATGGTCTCAATTTGCAGATGACACAATCCTGTAAGTAGAAAACCCAAAGGAATAAAAACACACACACCCTTGCACTAATGAATGAGTTCAGCAAAGTTCCGGGATACAAGATTCACATACAAAACTCAACTGTATTTGTGTATACTTGTAATGAACAATCCAAAAGTGAAATTAAGAAAACACTGTGATTTACAACAGCATGAAAAAGATACTCAGGAACGAATGTAACAAGAGTGCAAACTTTACACTGGAAATCATAAAACATCTCTGAAATAAATTAAAGAAATTCCCATGGAAAGGCAGAGGGCCCAGAATAGCCAAAGCACCTTGAGCAAGTTGAAGGACTCACACTTCCCAATTTCAACCCTGACCACAAAGCTACAGTAATCAAGACACTGTGGTGCTGGCATAAAGACACAGAAATCGATGGAACAGAATGGAGAGTCCCAAATCAACCCATCACGTTTATGAGCTAATTTTTAACAAGGCTGCCAAGACAACTTGGTGAGAAGTCTTTCAACAAACAGTCCAGGAACAACTGGACATCCACACGCAATAGCATAAAGTTGTACCCTTACCCCACACAATATACAAAATTAATGCAAAGTGGATCACAGACCTAAACACAAGACCTCAACCTATAAAACGTGTAGAAGGAAACACAAGTGTGAGTCTCCGAGACCTTGGGTGAGGCAGCGGTTTCCTAGGACCCTCGAAGCACAGGCAACCAAGGGAAACTGCACAATTTTGCGAACCCGCTAAAAACAATGACTTGTACGTCTCGCAGGGTGAACTCTGCGGCTTACGAACGTCGGCGAAAACCACGATGCCAACAGGGCGCCGGGGCTCAGCGCCTGTACCGCGCCCGCCGCGGGGCCCACGCTGCGCCTGGAGCCCGCTCAGGACTCTCCCTCCCTCCCTAAGAAACGAAACAAAACACCCCCGAGTGCAGCGCACACGTCAAAACCAGGGCCCGAGGCAGGAGCTAAAACCGAAGGGCTCTTAGCAAGCGGACCACGTGCGCCTTAACAGTGACACTGTTACTGATGCACCGGCGGAGGGTTAGCGGAGAACCCCGACCAACGACACACAGGCGCCGCCACAACCACGGGCACGGCCGTAGGGGACGCGGAGGAGGCCCTTCTTTTTTTTTTTAAATTTTTTATTGTTATGTTAATCACCATATATTACATCATTAGTTTTTGGTGCAGTGTTCCATGATTCATTGTTTGTTCATAACACCCAGTGCTCCATGCAG